TAATCGAAAACTAAAACACTACGGTAGCTATTACTTGTCTTGTAGATTGTAAGGAATGCAAGGCTATTATAGTATTATAGCAATAGCCAATAGGTTTATACACAATAGGTATATTTATTTTATTTTTCATACAACGGAACCGCTCTACATTTCGACAAGGTGAAGTCGTTTTCCGTAAGTCGGTATTATCCGCCAGATGCCGTTGTTAGTTTGGTTTTTATCCATGTCATTTATATAAATCATATAATCATGTTTTTTCTCCATGGTTCGCTCTTCKATCTGCTCTTTTTTCCATGACCGTCATCATCGGTTATCAATATCGCGCGTCGTTAATCGTTATTATCATATTTATTATTTAACTCCGGACCCCGATTTTCATGTCTTTATCGTCTGTGAAAGTGTGAAACCGTGGAGACTGTGGAGAGTCCGAATTGTGGCTTGCGGTTGCGGTACAAGGCTGCTTTGTTGCGGTTCGCACAACCGTAGTCCACCCCCTACGATCTTTATAATAATTATTGTAATAAATTATAGGTTATCAATCTTTGTCAAACTTTAATCATCTGAATCCGGTAAGTCGATTATAATACCAATATTGTATTATAATTATTTTTCGTTTCTCGCTTTCTGGTGGTCACCAAAACGACGCGTCGACGTTACTTCCAGGCGCCTAACCTTCCAAAAACCAAGTCACGTTTTTTTATGGCATCGTGCCGTCTTTGATATTCTTACTGTTCATGAATTAGTGACTACCGAATTTCCGGCCATGGAGGAGCTTGCGTGTGTCCGGTGCATGAGCTCCAAATTCCGGAACCCAAACCTCGTGTTCAGCTTCAATGTGTGCGGGCATACCATGTGCGCAAATTGCATAGAAGTGGCGTTCATGAAAGGTAAACACCGAATAATTGTGTATGTAGTGTGTGTTGATTGTGCYAAGAGAGGAGTGACATCAGGTGTCCTGATGTACTGCATTTCTAGGATGCTTCTGGTATATTAATACTATASTAATAATRTCAAGTGTAWGATGTAGGACTAGTTAACTGTTGTTCATCTTGTCGTTACTCATTKCTGTCTACTTTGAGCAGTTACATAGGTCCTTAAGGGGATTGTAAGCRGTRATTTTCTGTCTTTGTCTAACACTCGCGAAACATACAATACGCCTGATAAAAATTAAAGTACTTCTAGTTGCTCGATTTAAAATATGTAAACATTTTTGAATTGGTATACAAATTTACTTTGCATCGGTCRAAGCATATTTTTAATATATTTAATAAAAAAAATTTGACAAATTTATAAAATTTAAAATATTTATTYTTATCTAAATATTGCTACAATTGAAAAAGTGCTTCGACCGATGCAAAGTAAACATGTATHTCAATTAACATATCTTTACATATTTTAAATCGAACAACTAGAAGTGCCTTAATTTTTGTCAGGCGTATTGTATGTCCCACTTGTGTTARACAAAGACAGAAAATCATCGCTTCCAATCCCCTTAATGTATTAAGGTAGTCAGGTAATAGATTATTAGCTATCTTTCAAAGTTACTGGTCAATGTTTAAATACCTATCCAGTTTTCRAAGAAATTTCATGTTTACATCAAAGTATTTGTATTTTAATTGCCATTTATTAAAAACTAATCATTCACTGATAGTTTTTTTTATAAATTGTATCACATTTGTTTGTCCATATCTATTTTTACAAAGCTGTATACTACAATRAACATAGAATATAGACAGTAGTTGGGKAATCTAGAACCCAGATTATCTACCTATGTATTTAGATTCTTTATTTGGCAAAAGCAAAGGAAAATGTATTGTTATTTATTCACATTATTTGCTTCAAATTTATTAATGCCTTTATTAAAGATAGTAATTTACTTTCACTGAAATTTTAATCTAACATGCAATAACAATTTGTCCTTCAAAAATTTTTATACTTTTAAGATWGTTATGATTAATTATAAGAAATAAATAAGAAATGTTTGAACGATACCTATTATTAATTCTTATTGGTAAGCTATCTCCAAACTTAAGTTTTACCAGTTGGTTAGATATAAAATTAAAATGTAATAAATGGCTAGTCGAAGACAGAATTATGATTACTAATAATCTCTGTTCAAAACTAAGCCTATAGTAAAAAAAATAGTCATACACGGTCGCATAA